GGGGAATGCACACACGTGTGCATAGAGGATGCACAGCTGATGCACATGCATGTGCAAGGCGGTGCACACGTGATGCACACGCATGTGCATGGAAGATGCACACATGCATGCACAAGTGATGCACATGCATGTGCAAGGGGGTGCACACGCGTGTGCACGGGGGAATGCACACACGTGTGCAGCGGGCACACGGGGTGGCACCCACCTGCAGTTTGTCACCGTCACCGCTGCCGCCGCCGCAGGCCGCCCGCAGCCGCGCGCTGGTGGCGTTGACGACGCCGCACAGGCCGCCCGCGTCGTCCTGGCAGCCCCAAAAACCCGCCTTCTCACCCCAAACGGGGCCCTTGCCACCCAAACGCACCTGAGGGCACCTCCCCGACCCAAAAAGGGCTCCTTTCCACCCAAATAGCCCTCCCTGACCCAAAAAGGGCCCTTTTCCACCCAAATGCACCCAAGGGGGCCCTCCCTGACCCAAAAAGGGCCCCTTTCCACCCAAATGGCCCTCCCCGACCCAAAACAGGTCCCTTTCCACCCAAATAGCCCTCCCTGACCCAAAATGGGCCCCTTTGCACCCAAATAGCCCTCCCTGACCCAAAAAGAGCCCCTTTGCACCCAAAATGCATCCAAGGGAGTCTCCCTGACCCAAAAAGTGCCCCTTTGCACCCAAAATGCATCCAAGGAGGTCTCCCCAACCCAAAAAGGGCCCCTTTCCACCCAAATGGCCCTCCCCGACCCAAAATGGGCCCCTTTGCACCCAAATAGCCCTCCCTGACCCAAAATGGGCCCCTTTGCACCCAAATGGCCCTCCCCAACCCAAAAAGGGCCCCTTTCCACCCAAATAGCCCTCCCTGACCCAAAATGGCCCCCTTTGCACCCAAATAGCCCTCCCTGACCCAAAAAGAGCCCCTTTGCACCCAAAATGCATCCAAGGGGGTCTCCATGACCCAAAAGGGGCCCCTTTCCACCCAAATGGCCCTCCCCGACCCAAAAAGGGCCCCTTTCCACCCAAAACGCACCCGAGGCGGCCTCCCCGACCCAAAAAGGGCCCCTTTCCACCCAAAATGCATCCAAGGGGGTCTCCCC